CTATGATTCTATTCTATGATACAACTATTGGGCCAGCACCGTGCGGTCAGGCAGCCTGCCACCAAGCCCTATCACCGGCACAGCAAGATGGACAAACCCACCTGTGAACAGACCCTTGGCAATGAGTGTTTTTTCCAGAACACCAGACACTCATTTACAGAAACACATCTTAAGAAAAGGAGTTAATTGGAAACAACATTTTCCCCCCACCCCATGCACTACATTATCTACTCAGTAACAGCACCTAGGGCCAACTGGTTGTCTCCTACAAGCACTCACTGTGGTTTCCAAGTAGGCGAAGGCTACAGAGTATTTGTTAGAAGCACTCATTTTAAAAAGGCTATTATAAAATACAGGCAAGTCAAGGTTTATCCTGATGCAACTGAAATCTCAGCAGTATTTCTATGTTTCAATGAATACTTGACTGCAATGCCTGACTGGAGAGAGGACTGAGCAGGCTTTGGGGGAGCCCAAGTCCCACTTTCAAAAATCTCACTGGATGGCTATGGAACTTGCGCTGTAAAAATCACGGAAGGTGGTTTAGGAAAGGTGTAAACTTGTGCCCTGTTTGAAGCGCAACAGTATGCTCACTGCTAGAGCTATAAAAACGCTGCCCAGAGAGCTGTGTTCACCTATGCGGCACAGCCCAGGATTTCTGTTACTGCAAGTACCAGTTGTGGTTTCCCAGTAAAGCCGAGTTCGGTTAGCTCCCCATCACAGCTCTGCAGCCTAAACATTGTGTTCCTGGCTGAGGGACGTTTACATACGTAAGTAGCCACATTCCAGCTTTGCAAAACATGAACAATGGTTCAGGAGGAGACTCAAGACTTTTAATATACCACCACTAAAGTTTTTTTAAAAACAAAATTACTTAACTAGAATATATCCAGGTAAGTCATTTTGTTCTTAATAACAAGGCAGATTACCTCTCCCTGCCACTTACATTTCTGAGTTTCTTGGTGACAATCCCTGTCCTGTCCACCCACACTGTACAACTTCCATTGCATGAGTATCTAAAGACCTCAACAATACCATACCTCCACAATACCCGTTTCTTGCCTCCCTTTATGAATTCTTTTCCTCCACCTCATGGCTGCAAGTGCTAGTTTCTTCTGGTTTACATTGATTCCAGGCAAAACATTAAGTATGGAATTACTTCCCCACTCGTAATCTTCTTCCTAGAACAATCATAAGCTTGAATTACAAAGCAGTCCTGCCAAGTTTACCAGCAGAAGAATAAATTTTAAAAAAAGGAAAAAAACAACACACTAAAAAGAAAAAACAAAGAAACAAAACCAGAACAAAACCCAACTCACTCTAGCTTTATATATGATCTGGTCAAAACAACTTGAGGTAAAGTTAAAGATATGGCTCTCCATTCCACATACATATCTAAATCATCTCATGTTTTCTGTGACATCAAGTCACGTACACAACCAGATTCTTCTTGCAGTTATCTACAATGGAATTCAACAGCAGGGCAAAGCAACTCACTACTCTGGACACCATCGACTCTACATTTCTGCAGTGTCTTCCAAAACAATGAAAATTGGTTTTGAGACGTAAAGATAGGAACCAGCCTATGGGCATTATTTTAAAGTCAATGTAAAGTCAATGTAAAGCTTGGTCAATGTAAAAGAACTGCTAGACCCAGGAGAACTGTGAAATAATGGTTAGGGAGGTGAGGAGTTGGAAGAGAGATTGTTCAAAAATGTTTACGTACATGGTTATAGAGTTGGATTATTTAAAACTATTACACGTTCATTTATTGAAAGGATCAAGATTTAATTCCTGGCGTAGTAAGTTCCAGGTAAATTTAGCTGATACCAGTGAGAATTTACCAAAAGGTACTCAAGCTTCAATTTTCAGAAGCAACTATAAAAAGTATAGGTATTTCATCTATCCTACAACCAGGAGTTTGGTCCAGGAGTAGTTTTCAGAGAAGAGCTTGCCAAAAATTTCTCAGACTTTGGATCCTCTAAAACTCCTGAGGCTCAGGCACCCTCAACCGCTAATTGGTTTTGAGAGGTTAAGTCCTTTCCTAGTAGTGGAAAATAAAAAGAAATGCAAAAAGGTACAACATCCTCATTTCTCACTAATAAGGTCACATGCCTGAACAAAGCAGCCAGCTCCTCTACATGCCTCCAGGTAGGAACGATGAAGCACCCACTTTCCAGCTGCCATCGAAGCCAAGAATTTTTCATTTCGAAGGGGATGTCCCACAACAATGTGTGTGCAACTTGGATCAAAGCACTGTTTCTCAAGTACTATTCCACCTTGAATTGAGGAATGAATTTGATTAAAATTATTTAAGAGTCATGTTGTACGACAGAAAGGGTCAACTCAAAGTGAGAATTATTTGAATTCAGATAAAAATATACTTAACTCAAATTTACATTGAAAGTATTATGATTCAAGTGACATGGGCAGAAGCTGGCAAGGAATGAGAAGTAGCCAGGAAAGAGCGACTCTGATAAAAATAAAGTGCCACTGTAACACAGACAGGAACGAGACAGACACCGGAGGACAGCAGATCCTCGGCACTCCCAACAGTGAAGAATGAGGCTGTTGTGGAGACAGCTACAAGAAAACTGCCAGAAGACAAAACCATTGCTGTTTTATGGCAAAGCTGATTGCTCACATAATAGCAATATATTCAAAGAATCACTCACAAGCACAGAAAGCCATAAATCTGAGACCTCAAATCTGATGAGTCACTAACAGAAGCCCTTTCTTTTCCCCAACGAGCCACAGCTGACCAGACACATACTATTCTTTGCATTTCACAAATATCTGGTACCTAATTCCTCAATCAGATGGCAGTAATCAAATCTTTCTTGAGGATTAAGAGAAGACAGCTGAAATTTACGTTGTTTTTCTGGTTCTTCATCAGCCTTCTCATCTTCTGTAACAGCCTGGAAATACAGCAACAGATTTTGAAAATATGACAGAAAGATTAGGTTGACAGCTGACTATTTCTCTGCCAAACATTCTGGGTTATTTTTATATTAAGTTTTCTTTTAGCCAGGAAAAGCAGAATGAAACCAGTCAATCACTTAACAAAAAGCTTGGATCTTGCCAGTTCAACATTAGGTTCCTGCTTAACATCCTCTTGGTTCCTCCCTTCTTCAGGGAAAGAACTGAATGAATCTGTTGTAAAAACTAAACCTTCATTCATATCCACCGAATGCCAAGTTGAACACATGAAGAAATTGTCATCCGTCTATCACACTGCCTCATTCACTCAAACTTTCCGTAACTTCGAGGGCCTTTATGCATTTCTGCCGCAGCTTATTTACTAACATGACACGTTATGCCTCTGAAGATACACAGATGCTGAAAGTTTGAGCATCAAGTGATACGCTGTAGACAAAAGACAAACTTCATTTTCCTAGCCCCTTCCAAGTTCACTATAAAATAATAGAATTTTAAACCAGGTTTTTGGCAGAAAAATAATTTTCCGTTTGTACCTAAACATAAATTCCAGATACCGTCAAGGAAACAAAGAAGGAAACAGAGGTGTAACTTTTTTTCCATCATCCTAATGTGGCTGGAGGAGTTACAAATAATACACATAGTAACTCTCCACTCCAAATCCTACCGCAGCATTCCAGCAGGAACTAACAGGGCAAACACCCTTATTTGCCTAAACAAACAAGCTTTATTTATTTGAGCAAACATTATTTGTTCAAAATCTTTAAGAAAGGGAGAAACAGAACTGCACAAAAGTAATGCACTTTAAGATTTCAAATGTAATATTCACCTATTTTATATTTACTGTCAAGTTCAAAACTTATTAAAGTGTCACTACATCTGTCAGAACACAAATCATCATAAATATCTCTTCATATGACAAACCTTTTCTTTGGGCTGTGGTGCCACGGGGGGGTTAGCCAGTGGGAAAGCAATGCTGGGAGCCTGCGGAGTGGGGATCAAGTGATCTTTAATCGGTGTTCCAGGATCCCTACATACAGGATTCTTTAGACCCTCAACCAAGTCTTCATCCCCAGCCTCAGGAACAGCTGTGAAAGTAAAGCATTGTTGCATGACTTGTCTTCAGCTGAATATAATTATGGATAAAATAAAAAATAAAAAAAAAAATTAAAAAGTAGCAATCCTAAAAGGACAAAACACAACTGCTGCTACCACATGTACATTTCACCACTGCCTTTCATAAAGATCCTCTGCCTTATACCACAAACCATCAATTGCAATATTGCAGACTCATGTCCCTGGATGCCTTGCTTTGAAAAAAACCCCAAAACCCTCAAATGGCCTAATTTCTTTGGCTAAACCACACTGATTCAGTTGAATCAAAATTCAACTGAATGCATTTAGCTAATTTTCTTCAACCTCCTCTAGGACAGGGTCAGTTCTCAGGCAGACTGTTGCGCAAGCAGAAACTCTGTAATTAGACTGAGGGAAGGAGCTGGGGGCAGGACGGAGGCAGAGGGGAGAGAGAAATAAAGGATTTCGCTGTCTATCAGGAGGCAGGAATGGGAAGAAAGCAAAACAGATGAAAAAACTTAAGTGTGTTGCTTCCTTAGTCCTAGCAGTAGACTAAAGACTTCAAAAGAACAGGGAAGATAAATACAGTATCTTTGGAATCCTAACGTAAGCACATCCATTGGCAGCTCCAACACATCTGTTTTTCAGGCCCATGGGTCATCTTCTTCCTATATTTCCATTCTTCACCTATGAATATTCCCACTATAATTAAAAAGATTTTGCTACTGGTATTCCCATTTGAATTCCACAATATCTACCTGAAACCAGCCAGCTGTGGTTCCAAAAAAAAAAAAAAAAAAAATTTCGAAGATTTCCTAAAGTTGGTGCAGACTGTTTTTAGACAAGCACTGCCTTGGTGTTTGACCACAAATTGCAAATGGATAGGAAAGCTTCTCTTTAAAAAAACAGCAACACACCACGGAGCTCAAAGATGTAAAATTCTATTTTTACATGCTCACTTTTTTTTTTTTAAAGTAGAATTCAAACACTACTGTATTTTAAAAGTCCCACAGATCAAATGGATGCTGCAGCAAAGAACAAGGATATTGTATTTCTGATTTTACCCGTACCAGCAATCTCTGCATCAGCTAAAGATCCTCTGAAGGCAGATTCATCCATGTTCTTATTGGCGTTACTCTGACCTTGCTCAGTGTACTGGGAAGGACTGTTAGGCCACTGAAAGTTGCTGACAAGTCTTGCTCTCTCCTCCCTTGCTGTAGGATCGTCCCAGATGATCTGCTCGCTCTGGGATGGCTCCGTGTTTATATCTGGGAGTGCCTGACGGGATTGCCTAAGGAAAAAAGCCACAGATACCTTAAATATTCACTTGTTTTACAGAAAACTACCATACTAGAAGGCAACGTGTTAACGATCACAAATGTAGCATCCAAGTGACCTCATTATTAGAAAGCATGGCTGGGAAAGGGGAAAACTGCAGTATAAAAGCAACTCTGGCAGCATGGTTTCATGAGCTTAAGTGTCAGCATGGCGGAAAAAAGGCAGCCAAAATATCAGGAGGAGATGTTTTTATTACGTGTCATATTGATAAATTACACCTAAACCAGTGTACTCTACTGAACCTATTAATTGGCAAATAAACACCAAGCTAAAGGAATAATTTTGCAAGGTTTCCATTACTTTCTCGCTGTAGCTCAGCATTGTTAGAGTTCAAATCCTATTCTCTGTTTAGAGAGAAAAGAAAAAGAGGAGAAACATTCAGAGAGGTGCTTTGGAGGAATACCTACTACTTGCATATAACCCATGTACCGAAAAACTGCAGCACTGCTTTCTTCAAAATCTGTAAGAACATTTAACTAATCTGAAGAGAAAGAAAAGAAACCAATTGGCATAAATCAACTCAAAACTAAAAAGCAATCATACTATTTTTTGAAAAACAGAAAGATACCCACTATGGATTTAGATAACATTCTGACTTTATCTACCGTGTCCAGTGAAAGATTCTGAATTGCAAGAGAAGCAACTTAAGTACAGCAGCAGAGAAAGACAATACACCTGAAAACCCTGGAGACCTATTCACGTTCCAATGAACGTCTAGGTATGTGCAGGGAGGGCAAAATAAGATACTTTGAAAACACAAATCAATACCTTAGAGCTTCCAAGGCCCTACTGCGGCCGTTTCGCACAGACCGTGTACTATCAGGAGTGGCTGGAGAACCATCAAAACTGTTCCTTGAAAGGGATCCTCTTTGCCCTTGTGGTTTCACTAGCGATGTGGCAGACATGATCTCCTGCAGCTGCCTTTGGAAGTTCTCCCTCATTTCTAGGGCTTGGGTTAAAACTGAAGAGAAGGAACAAAACCCAACAAGATCAAGACTGTTATATTGTAACAAGTGAAAAGCAATTGAAATTCCAGTCAACTCCCCCCCCACTCCCCCCAACTGGGACAAGGACAATGCATTAAGTAGAGGAAAAGATATCTAGGAGAAATATCCAGGAAAACTATGTATGCCCCAAGTCACCTATTCTTAGACACAAGGAGAAATCTCCATCAGGCTCTCTTGTGAATTTGCTCATGTGATCTAGCTTATATCCACAATTCTCCCATAACACATTTATTTACGTAACAAAAGGTATACACTAAAACTGATTTGTCATGTTAGAGATGAAATTCAGCATCTTAAAAACAAATAAATAGCCATTAAGTAATTTGCAATGGATGATTGTTATTTTCTTATGGCCAAAGTCTTTAAAATAGAAAACAAACCCCTTTCCTCTCATCCAGCAACAATAAGAGCTAGCTGTACTTGACCAGTATATAAATATGGTACCTAAAGCTTCCAGATCTTAACATTCAGCACCTGAAACTGTAAAAGGCTTATATTCATAGTTTGATGTTCCACAACTATTTTGAAAACAGTGATTTACATTTACCTCCTTTGGATTCACTTGTTACAATTTGTTCTTCCTCTGCAGTGACCATTTCCTTTATTTGGTCAGTAGTTAAATCATCTTCAGCGTCATCTTCATCCACTGGAATAATCTAAAAACAATGAAGACAAGTAGAATTCTCAAACACTGAAGTTTTTTTACTTTTTACCCATGTTCAACACTTGTATAAATTCTGAAGATGATTAATCTTGCCTTAGAGTAAATCTAACCTTTCTGCTATGGCAATGACAGTACAACAGCAAAAAGCAGCATCAGTGACAACACCTATTCTGCAGTCTAAACGGCTACTAAGGCAAGTTCACACCTTGGATCTCGTTACCTACAAGAGAAGGCAAAGACCGGACCTATATAACTTCCAATTTGGAAAGCACTTCTAATCCTGACATGCCTGTGTTTCCCTCTATCGTTCTAGGAGGAGTATTACAAATGCAGAGAGACCTTAAGCAACATCTGCAATAGCTGCTATTAATTACTAGCTAAACCTGATTCAGGGCATCACTGAATAAGCATCAACAGTTTTTATTAATATGTTAATATAACAATTAGGTTAACTGAATCCAAATCACTTCACAGAACATAAATTCATATCACATATTATACCTCATTCTCCTCTGCTGGTTTTCCAGTTGATGGAAGTTTACTGGAGGAGGAGAGCCTGACATCTTGCACTGCACTGATATCCAGGCTCATTTTGGGATTGTAAGTGTGAGGAAAGAGAGATTCAGGAAGCCGTTTATATTCTTGGGCACTCTGTAATAACATGAGTTAACATAAGAAAGATGAGAAACTGATTGAGATTAAAGAAATTTCACATCTAAACATAGGAAAAGTACAACAAAAACATCACAAAAAGAAGTACTTGACACAAGAGAAAAATGTGGGTCTCATTCTGGGAAATGTGTGGCAGAAATGTTCGATGGAAGAGAATTTCTTTTCTCCTCATGGAGAACAAGGTAAAAGTACATCGATGAAAACTGATCGCTCAATTCATAAGTCAAAGCAGGATGCAAAAACATCAGTTCCTATACACGTTCAGTATAAACACAAACAGAAAATCCACTGCCATATAACTCGTTTTAAACCTCCATTTCCCGTCACTTTTAGTAAGGGAACAAAGGTAGTTCCATACCTCTAAAAGCCAATGTTCTGAAACAATATGTATACCCCGTTCTCTAACAGATTTGTACTCCTTATTGTTGTCATTTTGTCCTCCCTTGTAGATGAAGTGTGTTACTGTTTCATCAAAGCACCATCTAGAAAAAAAAAAAAAAAAAGAAATAAAACTTGAAGATATAATTTCTACCAAAAAAGTACCAGAAATCCAGCTCAGAAATTGTCCGATCCCTTGCTCATGTTTATGGCATACTGGTTTGCCTATTTTGTTATACCTAAACAAGCAATGAGCCTACTTTCTTCAACAAAAAAGACAGCATTCAGTTTCAGGATAGAACAACTTCAATGTCTTTTGAAAGCATTCCTGAAATAAACAAAACTAAATGTGATAAAACATGGAAGAGGAGAGGTTTTGCTTTGTTTTTTTTTTTGTTTTTGTTGAAGTAAGTGGAGTTTCAAATCAGTTTCTGAAAAGAACGTGTGACCCAGGATGAGAGCGCTTTTTCTTTTGTTGACATATTGAGCTGCAAGGGAAATACTGATCCTCAAAGCTCAAAATAAACAAAATGTGGGATTCTAATATTTAAACCAATAAAAACTAGTATTTGCTATCTAATGCAAGTATCTTCAGCATTTCTAAGCTACTACCAAATATAAGGGCAACTTCCTCATCCACACTGTGGACGATAACACTTATTATAGAGGTCAGTAACAAAATATATAAATCAGATTTAGTGGGAGTAGAATGCTGCCTTAAATGAAAGGTTAGTTTGTGATTTCTCTTAGTGACAAGCTATTTTTCCTAAGCTTTTCTAAGCACACTAACTTAGTCATGCTTACAATCTGTAAAATAATTATTTTTGAACCAGGGAGAAACACACAAATTCAGATCAGATTCGAACTCTAAAATATAAAGCAAATTTTCAACTACCCAAAAGCTAAGCATGTTTCATAGCTTTCTTTAAAAAGAGAAGAAAAAAGAAAAAAACCATTCTGCGATCAGGAAGACTTCAGGACAGTCAAGTCTTTCCAAGACAGACTTAGCAAGAACACAGAGACTGGGGATGTGGCGGGGAAAGATGACCTTATTTTGCATTAGAAGCAGACGGCCTTATTTTGCAATGGAAATTGCCTAAGATGGTAAAATCTAATATTTAGCTACAGCAATAGGTGATGTAGATAAAGGATATTAGAATGCAAAGACTCGTGTTTATTAGAAGTCACATCAATGCAGAAGCTTAGAAGCTGTGATACCTGTAGTCTGCCCCAAGAGAAGCTGCTACTGCATTCAGTTCACTTTGCTTCTTACTAAGTTTTTTACTAACATATATAATAACACCGGCGAGAGGCCTGGGCTCTTCTTCCTGTTCAAGCAGCAGGGATAAAAACAGGAGAGTCATGTTTGGAAGGTTTCTGTAACAATAACAAAAATATTTTAATATTTAGTGTAGCATGTGGTAAAATCTGCAACAACAACAAAACTAAGATAAACGTATTTTCTCCATTTTTGCTGCTCCCAAATTCCATGGTCAAAACCCAGCACTATTACCATTCCATGCACTAGGAATCCAAAGACAAAAGATTCACTTTCAGCCAGTTCCAGTTTCCCTGGAACATACTCTGCTCCTTCCATTGCAGACTGAGCACTTCCTGAACACTGAAATTAGGGAATTATCAAACCTGATGCCACAAAAGTATTCACTGTATTGGAGTGAAAAAAAGTAAGAACAAGGAGCTACAAAGTAAGAAGTGACAACCTTGCCTTGCTGAAGGCCATTAGCTTTCTTACCCCTCCTCTACAGTAAACAGTGTACTAACATGGCAAGCACTACATAAATGCTCCCTTTCCTCCTACATCTTTTTCTGTTTCTCTCACTAGGGTAGATTAGACTGAAGAGGCAAGACGACTGCAAGAAAGGATAACATAATGTGTCTTTATAAGGGAGTAAGCAACTGATCACAGCTTGTGGCTACTAGTAAGCAGAAGTCCAGCAGCTTACAGAGGAAGATAGGAAAAGAAGACACACACATTAAAAAAGAACTCCTAACTTCAGTCCAAGACAAAAAATTTAATCCTGCTTATCTGGAGCCTCGGAATTTCTGAAGTGTGATTAAATCCTCTCATCCCAATACCACAAAGTCTGAACTGGTACATACTTATATGCCATGTTACTTTGCAACTGCTTAATATTCAAGATAGCAGTACAGACAGTAGAAAAAGGTTTTAAAATTCTTTGCCTTCCAGGAGGAAACTCTTCTATCTTACCTCCCTTTAACTGACATTGAAGAATGAATAATCATATGGATTTCTATTCAAGATCACAGCAAAATTCACAAACTCCTTTGTAACTTAAGTCACAAAAGATACGGCGTTTTCTTAATTAAGCCTATGCTCCAGAAACTCAAAACCAAAATTTCCCACCACTTCTGGCTGTGCAGCGGTCAATTGAGGGCTGGCAGCAAGAGCTTCTGTATGCCTTGTGCTGTTTGCCAGTGCCAATTTCAAGTTTCTGCAGATGACTTCAGAGAGAGGTGTGCTCGGTTTCCTGGTTTTTTGATCAGGACCTCTCGGAGTTTCCAAAGCTGCCAGAGCATCCTATGAAAAAAGAAGCAACTAACTGACTTTCACGAACACACTACAAAATTCTCAGCCCAGTGCAAGTTTCACAAATACAGTCTGTAGTAAGATGTCATACTCCTAAATCAGGATGGTGTACTACAGTAGCACCTAGCAAGTGCAACTGTAGTACCACCGCACAAAAGCAGTGCAAGACAATCCCCATCTTGAGTCTGCATAAGCAAAACAGAAAGAAGATAGATTATTAATCTATTTTCACTGCCATTAATGAAAACTGCTCCTCACTGGAAAAGCCAGTGGCCAAGCCCAGGTATTCCTAACCCCAACCAACTACTTTAATTTACTAATACCTCCCTCCACTGGAGTTGCATATGAGTATGTAATTCTATCTGCATTTTTAAAACACCATTTCCTACTGCCCTTTTTTAAAAAAGGGAAATCTTGGTCTAGAATATCTTGCTTTTGAAAATTATCAGAGTGGTGAACTATTAGATTTTAAAAAGCAGAATACCAATTAAATCACAGACGCACTCACCCACAGAATGGTTTGGTTGGAAGGGACCTTAAAGATCACCATGTTCCAACCCCCCTGCCATGGGCAGGGACACCTCCCACCACACCAGGTTGCTCACAGCCCCATCCAACCTGGCCTTGAACACTTCCAGGGATGGGGCAGCCACAGCTGCTCTGGGCAACCTGTGCCACTGCCTCAGCACCCTCATTGTAAAGAATTTCTTCCATATATCTCATCTAAATCTAGCCTCTTTCAGTTTAAAACCATTACCCCGTGTCCTACCACTACACTCCCCGAAAAAGAGTCCCTCCCCATCTTTCCTGTAGGCCCCCTTTGAGTACTGGAAGGCTGCTTTAAGGTCTCCCTGGAGTCTTCTCTTCATGAAGCAGAACTACCTAAAGAGACCACTGGATTCTCCTGGTTTTGTAATACGTGTTTTGTTCTACTGCAGGCAGAGGGGTTAAAAAAAAAACCCCAACAACAAAACAGCCAACCCACAAACAAGCCCCCCCAAAAAAACTAACAACTTTGCAGGAATTCAACGCATTGATCTTTCAGTTCAGGCCTCAAAAATTCAAAACAAACCTTAAGCCTTCCAAAGTAGATCCGAGTCATTCAAGAGCTATTCCATCACAGATACTCCCTAAGTCTCAGGGGATTCTTCGTTCTGTTTTAAGGCTAGTATTTTTTCTGGCCTTTTGTGGCCTTCAGAATGAGACAGTGAACCCAAAACCCCAATGCATTTTTCAATTTGCAGTAACAGTTTTGTAATCGCTATAAAGCTATTATATTAAAACATGTCATTAAAGTAGCATTTCATCACAAAATAAGCAAACGCTTGTTTCCAAATATCTGGAGCAATTATAAGCCTTCTCGTTACATTTCTCAGTCTTTAGATGTAAAGAACACACATTGTGTACTATATGAAGTGTAGAACTCATGAGCGTATGATGCAATAAGCACAAACGAGCTTTGTTAACAACATTATGGCATCTATCAGTCAATAAATTTAGTCCACAGGTCATTAACTAGAAATACATATAAATAAGCGGAGCCAGTTTTCCTGGCTTTATTCAAAATGCAAGTCTGTATATTAACAGCATAAAAGGGTAAGCACAGGTTTCTGTGCTGTTTTTACATTTATGCACATCTTTAACCCTACTGGCTCTACAGAATAAAAAATTTGCAAAGATGATCACCTTTACGTCAAAAGAAGGCTTGAATAACTTGTCTTTGGAAAGAAATTTTGATGGTGTATCAAGATGTAAAGATGGCTCTTTCTGCAGCAGTCCCCCTTGTGCAAGAGGGGTTGTCTTCCCAATATGATGAGAGATTACAGCTTGGAAAGCTTTACTCTGGAACCTGTTGATATCAAGAGGGGTCACAGCTGGTTTTTTTCCAGCTTTAAGGAGGTAAGTAGGTTGTTCTGAATCAGGAGAATTAACAGTTGCTGGTGTCTTGCTAAGCTGAGTAATGGAACTCTCCTTATCTTTAAAAGAAACAAAGAAAACACAAGCAATCAATCTGATTTTGCTTTTGAACACAGATCTCACATACACTTTTATTTAAGCAACAACCGGAAGTTCACCTGACCTTTCTTTATAATTCATATCCCCCCCAGTAAATGCTTTACACTGACAATTATATTTTGAAAGCCAGTATCTTCAGCGTCTCTTCCAGTTAACTACTTAGTTTGCATTACAGTGGTACTGAGCTTGACCCTAAGTGTCTGAAAAAGAGCTAGCAACTCCTGGTCTGCTCACGCTGTTTGCGGTTCCACACATACCTGTGTAGCTCACACATGTCATACAACAACTACCAAAACACAAATCCAAGAAAAAGATGTAATACACAGCAAACCCTTCCCTTTCAACTTTAAATTTAACTCCTCCTCCTTGGCTCATTACCTCCCATGCAACATAAAACTACTTTCATATTCCTGACTCTGAATCACACCCCTTTAGGTCACTATGTACACTTCCAGTCCCTTATGCCTTTGGATTAATAGGACCAAGACTGAGCCAGGAATAAGCCCTTAAAGCTTATCCATCATAAATGCTTTTAGATAAGCATAACTCATCATCTTTATAGCTCAAAAAGATTAGTACAAGAATTGCTTTACATTTTACTGCTCATTTCCATGCACCTCCCCCTTTTTTTCCTTAAAAATGTAATATACAGAGAAGATGTGCCCATGCCAACAAGATACCTTTTGTCCTCTGACTTAGTGACCCTTATAATTAATTCACAAGGGCACTGGTAAAACAGATCTGCTAACATTCAGTATTAAATCGCTGTAGTCTGCATCTTAATACGGAAGAAATATTGCCAAATAAAAGGTGCTAAATAACTGGAAAAGGCGCAGAGGCATCAGAAGATGAAGTAGGCATGAAGGACTGCACAGAGGGGCCTCATGTCCTTGCAGACTAGCAAGTATGAAGTTCTAAGCTGCATCTATCATCAATTCCCATACAATCTACAGAGCTGCATGTGTGTCAAAAAGGACAAAGCTGAAACACTAAGCTTGATTCCCAACTGAATGATAACCACAAGACTCCATTAGCTCCAAGAGACTTGCAGCAAACACACAGTACCATTTCTATAACCACAACTCAACAGCAGGAAAAAAAAAAATACTTGAAAAAAATACCCTTTAGATCCAATACTTTGAAGGTGTTAGGAAAAAAAATTTCATCATACTTGCCTTCTTTATTGTGAACCAACAGTACAATGACACAATCATACTCCCTAACTTGCTAATAACCAACCTTCAGCCTCTGCATTTTCAACCAAGAACTTGCTCTCATCTGCTCTCTTTCCTGTCCTCGCAGACTGCAAAAGCCAAGCTACAGTGACTGCTGGCAAATTCCACTTCTTTGCAGCTTCATACTTGGAACCATCCGGTTCTCTCACCACAAGGTGGGTGCTGGCAAACATTCCTTTTTTTGCATTGGCTTTCCGCACAAAGAATTCTTGGACTCTAAAATTAGATTAATAAAACATTCATTTAGTCACAAACAAAATTAATCCAGGGCATGTTTATACTATTATATAAAATGCATTCAAGCAACAGAAAAGGAACCAGTAGAATTATCTAAGGCCATCCACTTTGTACTTTACACCTTTGCACTAACCTACACCTACAAGCCAAAAAAAAAAAACCAAAAAAAGTTTAAACAGTAATGTTTTGCTTCTATCAGTATTGAAAACATAACATTTCTCATAGTCCAGATGTCCTCACATCTCTCATTTCCAAATGATACACAGGGCCTAACATTCTTCTGCAAAACTAATGGGACAGGCTGGATTCCTTTCTGGAGCCAACAAGCATCATTTCCAAATGAACAACAGTTTCCTTTACATTACAGTTTTTCTGTCATCATCAAGGACCCAATCTTCCAAGAAGACAGCAGGACTGAACTCACTCGCAATGAATTTACTTCAAACAGACTACAAGTCAGACGAAATTACACTCTAAGCTATACAATTTTGCCACTTCATGACTAAACATGTTTTTCAAAGATCGTCATGAATTGGGAGCAAATAATTCACCATCCCAGCTCCTAAGAAATGGTTCACTATCACTGGTTATGAGGCTGAACCAGGTAGTGCTGAAGAAGAACAATGGTCCACTCCTGGACAACTGAAAAACAACTCAGAAGGCCTTACGTGAAAAACCGACTCTTTTTGCTCTGTTCTAGAGCAAAGCAAAAAGTTACTGAGACTCAGTCATTGGGAAAGATGAGACTGAGTGCATTCTAGTAGAAATTAGGCTGTGTGAATACTGACTATGTTTCTCTGAAGGAGAGGAAAATAAAAGAACTAACTAGTAACGTCTCATTGCTTCAGCACTAGTTTTTGTAAATGACTAGAATCCAAAACAGCTTTAACTAGTATTTGTTCCTCCTGTAAAATAAGAAATGAAACGCGTAATGGATTTCATCACGCTGGCTGTCCAAGAACAAGAAGAGTGGCACGAGACATACCTGGCTCCTAGCAGTCCTGCCAGATAAACCAAGGACTCTCTCTCTGCACCAGTGAACTGGCTAAAAGAAAGAACACAGTCTTCCAGAGGGGTTACTCCTTCCATTACTGGGACTGGTGTGAAAAGTGGATTGGACCGCGGATCTAAAAGGAGCTGCTGTTCCACACATGTAATCTTAAAGAAGGCGAAAGATAAAAATGCAAATCAAGCCAAACAGCAACAAAGCCAACAATATTTCAGCAACAATATGATAACATTTACGGATTCAACAATAAGCAATTCTGCTTCCATTGTTACATCTGAGACAAATTATTTCCCATTGAATCAGACAAACTCTTTTGTAGATCATTTTAATTTTGTCAGGTTTGATATACTGAGGCATTATTCAGAACTTTTCAGTTACTACTCTTCCAATGCTGGAGGTTCCCTTAAAGCAGTTCAAGGCATGATCTGAGGATCTATATAGATTTACTTCACGGAAAGTTACCCAGTACTGAAAAATACTAACAGCAGTTAGTCTACATCATGTGCCCACTCTTGGAAAATATGGTTAGTATTTTTTGACTTTGAGCTGTGAAGCCGACTTGCTCTTCTGCCACAAGTTAAAAAGCTGTAAAAAGCATGAAACAAGAAAAAGTAAGCAAAAAGATACCAAATGAAATCATTATTAGTCAACTAGCTCCTTCTACAATTCATTTAGAGAGAACGCTGTCAGACTCTCATATAAGAAGCCTTCTAGTCATGACAATGAAGCCCATTTTCTACAGGCTTGTTAAATAGAAGTAAAACAGATAAAAGACACCTTACAGATGCAGAGGTTTTAAAGCATGCTTTCATCTAGTACATTTCAAATAAAATGAGTCTAACCTCTCAGTATCTTACTTACATTTAAGTCACCGACAATTCTGCATTCTGATAAGACATATTTCTAATATAGATACCCGTTTACTCGCAGAACTGAAAGTGTTAACTCCTTACCAGCCATGTATTTGTGACAACATCACCAACAGTCGGCTTCACCGCACACCCCAATAAAGGTACCACAGCATAGTCTGCAATGGTTCTGCTTTGCAGTGGCAGAATTTTCCCAGCATTCTCCTTTATAACATCTGCAATGCAAGACTCGTCCTCTTCACCAAAACCCAAAAGGAGGAATCTCTTTCTGACAAATAAGCCTCCTTCAGTCAGTGCAGAGGACTCTCCCAAAGAACCATTACAGATGGAAGACTGATTCTCATCTTGAGCAGTCAAGTGAGTATCATCATTGAAGGTTCTGGATGTTAGTTTTTCAATTTCACCTGAAAGAAAAAAAAAACACAAACTAAACCAAAAACCCAATCATAGTAATTGATTGACAAGAACATCAAAGACAACTCAAAGTAGTTTTACAAAGACATGACAGTATTCTGCTGTTTTCAGCCAGGTTTTAGTTAAAAACTCTATATAGGCCTGTTTAAATTTGATTTCTAAAACACGATACAGAAGTTAACATACTAGATGTGGCTAGTTAAACCTTCTATGGTATGTTGAGCCTAGGACGTACCTAATGTAGAATCATTATTTACGTATTGAGAGAGGAAGTCATCTTCAGCAGCTTTCTGGTGCTTTATAACATTCACAGCTTCTTTCTTCAAGAGATTGCTATTTTTGGGAAGAACTGACTTCATTCCAGGTTGCTCCAAAAGCGCGTTCTCTAACAGCTGGTAGTTCAGAGGTATATATGGCTCCACTGGATGTAGATAACCTTTACTAAATGACTCCAGCAACCATTTTGGTGTCACTATGTGAGGCCTATAAAATAAAGCATTACACAAACACATTACAGTACGTTTCAGAACTGTGATTCTTCTTTCCCACTCCACAAATACTAGCATACACACACACCTGAAGTTTGTAACTCCAATACTAAGCAAGCTTTGGGCACTTTACAAACCTCAAGATTTTTTTTTAATTCTTTCAGTACAGAGAATTTCATACTTACTTTCTATAATGTAAATTATATCTGCCACTGCTGGGTCACCAAATCCTTCCTCCTCAATATGTTAACAAATACATGTTAACACTTCTTTTCACCAGTAAGAATACTTGTTTTTCTATTCACTGAGGTGACTCATGGCTACCCAAAGAACTACAGTATTCAAGAACACACAAGGATGTACTTATGAATACCAGCTGTAACTCTTCTCATTAAAGTCAAGAGCTATTTAGGATTTTCAAATAAATATATGTTTTCCTGTTTACAAGTTGGTGGGAGAAAGAAAACAAGGCGGAAGAGGACATTAAGCAATATAGTTATCATAACCTGTGGGCTGTCTTGTCCAAAAAGTGTTTCAGCTCCTCATTATTTTCCCCCAAAATGACATGGGTAACATCTTCATTAAGTTGATTAAATCGAACACCACCACCGCAATTAATAAGCCTTCTCATCTTGTCCAACTTCCTGCCACTGAAGCCACACAGATAGATCTACAAAGAGAACAGAGCAACAAAAAAGGCTTTCAAAAATTTTTTTTAAAGTAGAAAAGAAGAAAAACAAATAGAGTATTTTGGTATAATTTGACTGCTGTAGAACACAGAAACTAGTGGTGTAGCTTCTGGGAAGCAGCAAAAAAGTTAAGCATTTAGAATTGGATTAATTTATCTTTGCAAATTAATCTAGCAAAACTTTAATATTTACTAATGGAATGAACCCCCAAAGTCATACAACTAGGAAAAAAGCCCCACCCAAAACTACAAACCAATTCTAGAACCCATTCACTAGTGTTTAAATATATATGTGTCTATAGATATATAATTTTATATTTATGCTACATATTTAATACAATTACACACACATATATATGTAGATAAACATGCAAGCCACAGCATGTGGACACAAAATAAATCTGGCATTTGCTGCTGATCACGGAAACAACAATTTACTCAAGCAGCAATTGCCAGTGCTCCAACCTAGTTGCTTCCACAGGGTTAAGACTTGAATGTTTCAAAGTGCACATTATTAAACATACTCGACACCCATCTAACAAATCTTCAGGGGCTTGAAAAGTACTTATATCCAAGTTTTCCAGCTCATCAGGAAGAGGATCCAGTCTACTGCTCATAGCAGAACTACATGCGGTTTCATTAACACCACTCAAATTGATATTGGAAATGTGGCTGACGTCCGAAAGGGTATGATCTTTAAATAAAATTAAAAAAAGATGCATTAGTTTTGGCTTATCTCTCTTCATTGCTTCACTAAACAAAATACAAGACTGCCACAGATGATTTTGTTGTGCTAGAAGGAAATCTAAAGCCTGAAGAATAAAAAATACTAGGTAAGTATAACCTTGGTTAAATCAAGGGTTTTGTTTACACACAGGTTGAGTCTGGTCTTACTAGAAAGAGTGCTTATGCACCTTCTGTTTATTCCCAAATGGATGTCATCTATGAGATAGCAGCCAATGAGACCGGTTTTCAAAGCTTTTGTTCCGGTTTTGTGGCCACCTATTAGAAATACTCTTAAAAATAGACAGGCCTCTCTGTAGTAAAGAGGAATCAACATGAAGCTCAGTGGTTTGAGAGAGTTATATGCAGTTTCCATAATACCTAACTTCAATTCCCAGTGGTTGGCAGTGCTAACCCAGTGCTTCTGTTCAAGCATTTCCTGAAGTAGTAGTCAGCAACAGGTGTTCGGAAAGACACATTTAAAGCTGGCTGTGCCTTTCATGCTACCATGTTTGTTTACAAAATGCTTATAACTTTCCTTCTGTTAATAGCATGGAGTAAGTAAAAACAAACATATGAAGAAAAAAAAAGAAAAAAAAGAATAATAAAAAAAGTCAGCATTTGTTTCCCCCCCTAAGACTGCTATAAGATTAAACTCCTAATAGACATTTGTTTTAAACTACACATCTACGAACAGCTGTGGGTTTTTAGGACTTAAGAGAATACTCCAGTGATTCTTAAGCGGACAATCAGACGCCTAATTGAAGTTTATTTTTTAAACAATTATTCACATGTTTTAACTCTACACATGTTGGAATATTCAATGTGCGTAAAAGTAAGGTTACGTTTTAAGCACAAGCAGAATCAGAACCCAAACTGTCAAATCAGCACTGCAAAAACAAGCAGCATCCTACTAATTTGAAACAGTTCTCCCTCCTTACTACAAATGTTCCCTACCTTACTTGAACATATTTGAAAATACCTTACTTACTATCAGGCTTGCTGGCATGATTTGTAGGTGTTGACGTACTGGGTGTATTACTCGCTTTTGATCCAGCCTCTATTTTATATATTGTCTCATCCTGACAGAAGCCTTTCTCAATGCTGTCAGAAAACCACTGCACAGACACACAGTGCACATTCCATTTTTTGGCGCATTCGTACTTCTGACCTTTCAAATGTAAACAAAATAAAAATCACAAGTCACTAGAAGGCTAATGCTTCAAACAGTGATCGCTGAAAGATGGCTGGACATTATGAAAATTTAAATATTCAAATAACTTATTTCAGTGTGCAAGTTGTGTTATCCTGGACTCTTCTGATAAGCGGCTTATTTTTTCTCCAAATAAAGTTAGAGCAAAAAAAAATCTCATTGACAGATAGCTCATGGGTACAGTATGACAGGGCATTAAAGCCAAAAAAAAAAACAAAAGAAAATAAAAGGCTTTAAAGTTTTCAAGCACAGAAAAAAAAAAAAAACAAAAAAAAAGTTTAAAAACTCCCAGGACATTTCCCCATAGGGAAAGGGAGGGAAATTGAGGAAAAAAGAAAACGGTTCCCATTCTTCTCACACTAAAACTACAATCCTTTCATCTTCCCAAGAGGAAAGAAAGGGAGCTTTCGTTTTATCTTAGTAGGAATTCAGAAGGCACAAAGAATAGATCAGTTAAAAATCATTAGTCCACAATCCAATTTCAATCAGCATATAAATTAAGTCCTATCCAGCTCTCCCAAAAAACTTAGGGTTTTTTTTATTCTTCCAGCCTGTCTAGGATTTTTCTCCCTTAAATACCATCTGGGTCTCTGTTTTTTTTTTTCCTCTCTTTTATTCTCTTTCTCGTGCCTTTAAAGCAAAGTAAGGGTGCCCTATGTTACTCTTCCCATCAACAGTGATTCCCTAAACAGAAGCAGTAAGAGCAACACTGAAGCAGACATGGAGACAGTTCAAACTCTTATGCTTATGCATATCTACACTACTGCAACTCAAGAAGTGAAAACCACATTTGCTCTGTAAGTTCTACCTTTTGGCTCTTGAACTATGAGGTGAGTACATTCATTCATCTTGAGCTGCCCCGTATATTGCCCACCGTGTTCAGCAGTGAGGCGCTGGACTTCTTTCCTGTCTGAACTACTCAAGCCAGTTACGCAAATTGTACAGCCAAGGAACACAGGACAAGCATAGTCTTCCATGTTAACATCAGTGTATCTCATTATGCTAAAGGAATGAAAGAAAGAAAAAAGAAATAAACTTTTTTTGCCTTCCAGGTAAAATCAACCAGAAAAAGAAAGTAGTCTGTACTACCATAAGAATTACCAGTCCCCAAAACAAAATCAGTCTTATTCTGGTTTTTTATACCTTTGCTGAGATTTATCCCACAGTGTCTTAACCCAAGAGGGAAGCAAAATAGGTTTTTTCAGAGAAGCAGCTACTAAGTATTTCTTGCTGCCAACTTCTCCAGCTATGAGATGAGTTACTGACACATTGAGGTCTCTGTACACACGTCCACCCATCATCTGGACATACTTATGAACTTCTTCCTGGTTGGGGAAAAAAAGTTATAAAATATTATAAAAAAAAAAAAACCCTACATCACATTCACGTTCACCTTAAACAAATAAAATCACAGAGTTCAATTGTCTGTGGTTTCTCCTAAAAACTGTACAAAAATACAAAATGGGTATATATGGAAACCATAAAAACCATCAAATATAATTCCCATTTTATTTGCATTTATGATAAGCTGAACATAACACGTACCCTTAATAAAAATACTACAATCATACTGTATGAGTAAAATTTTACAGATAGTTGACGTTTTAGGTAGTATAATCAGAAAAAGATATCGGAACAAATAAAAAGTAAACTTCTAAGATAAACTATTTAAACCATAGCTGACTGGGTATTAAATCTTTACCATGTAGTTTTGAGTAACCAGAAATAGAGCATGTTGTCTGTAGCATTACAGCCACAGACAAACTAGCAAGATATGTGATCTGCCTAATCAGTTAATTAAAAACCCTAAAGCATACATTTACTCCCATATTAATATAGCTGACATATTATACGATTATATATGTATATGCTTACATAATATATACATGTGCACGCACAGAGGCACCATACAGACACATTTACATACTACATATACTTACAAGATGCTCCCTCCATACAACTCTCTACATAAACTATATATAGTCTACAAACTATAGAAGACTAAATATGTCTAGACAAAGGCACACTTAGACTTATATATAGTATGATTGCTGCCTTAGTAACAAGCCATTTGAAGCAAATGTCAACGATAATCAGCTAAACAATCCGTTTTGTACAATGCATTACCCTAACATCTTTTTCAAGGCTAGTACAGGATACGGTTACATCGGCCATCGTCATATTGTACACAGGATACTCAGCTCTTGGGACACATCGCCGGGACTGCATACAGTACAGGACTACCTGTGGTCCAACAATTCTACATCCAAGCTGCAATAAAATAATAGGAAAAAACCAAAGAAAATGAGCAGAAGGTACACTGGTATAAAAAAGGCTTTCCTTGTCCCTGAATCCTGAGGAAGGCAGGTCCCTTGGTCTGTCCTCCAACTCAAGCATCTCCAGGTAGATGACAGTTTTGCCTTTACTTTCTGCTGCAGATTTCCAGTACAATCCTTGTAGGTTTCCTGGCCTCAGTAAAAGCAGCAGACGCTATATCTACTAAGTCAGAGAATTCCAGCTAGCCTATCCCTGTCTGCTAGACAAGTCCTTACAGGACAAACAAAATCACATTACTCAGGAGGTAAAAAAGTGTGAAAGCCAGCTTAGCGACTCCAGCAGAATCGGAACTGATCATACTACTTATTTTTCCACATGCTTCAAAACAATCCTTATGTTTTGCTAGTCATATTCTTCCCTAAATGCAGGATGCAGTAAAGTTTTAAAGATCTTAGTGTAAATACTTCACACTATATTCAGTGCAAAAAGAGAGAACGTACAGGGTGTAAGCACAGACATGAGCGCTTCTAGAAAAGAAAGAACATAGCTAGAAGTAACTTGATGGGTAGCATACCTTTTTGAGATGACTGAAAACAACACCTCTAAAAGGATCACAAATGTAAAGCGATTTATCATTTTCTTTTATACTGAGTGCTGTTTCTTCTTCAAGAATCTGGAGATGTTCTTCTGACTGAAATTCTTTTATAGACTGCAGGGAAACAGTGTATATAACAACATTTATTTCATTAACAAATCACAAATAGCCAGAGCTGTGGAAACTACACAAGTACATCTACTTGAAACAGCTCACAACAAGGCTACCATGCAAAAGTATATTGGCAGAAGGGCTAAAATCTTCATGGATGTCCCCCTCGCTCCCCCAAGTCTTCACAATACTCAGACTTAAACATTCATCATACAAACTTTCAGGACCTGATCCTGCCACACAATGCCTTTAGCTCCCACTACCCTCTCAAGGTGGAAAACAATCCACAGCGTCCCTAAGTTTGCGTAGGGCTTAGATGAGCGACCACCACCCAGACCTTCCAAGCTAGATGTCACTTCACTAAATATCCATAGGCTTTGAAATGATAATTATTTCTTGTTCAAAAACTATTATCTTCAACAAAAGTTCTTCTTGTTCAACAAACTTTATTAAACGCTAAACACCTCTACTACAGAAATAGCTTTATTTCCAGATGTATATATATGCTACATCTAAGTCAACCACAGCAATCGTTTAATTAGATAACTCACCGAGCTCACTGAGAAAGGTAATCAAACCTACTTACCTCAAGAGATTTAAAAAAATACTCCGAGTTCCCAGAAGACTTTACGAATTTCACAAAAAACGGCTCCTTACTACCTTTCATCCTTTAACTGAGAAGCAAAACCCAGTAAGTGTCCCGACGTTTTCGGCGCAGCCCGGAACCGCGCGGTGACGGGACGGGACGGG